GGATTAAAAAGATACAAAGGCATCTTAAGATTTAATGAGATGGAGTAGATTTCCTATACAGACCTTTTCCACTCCTGTGAACTTCTCAACTTTTGTGACAGACAGACTCACTTTTCACTAATGTGACTGACAGACACACTGACACAATGTGCAGCAGCTGTGTGAAGGCGAACTATTGGAAATCATTTCACAACCATTTTCCTTTGCATAAAATTTGTCGCAGATATAAGGAATAACCGATAATGTGAGTGTGGGGGACTTTCAGTAAAGATTCTGTGTACATGATATTGGGAGTCTAATACCATGAGATGAGTCAGTTCTATTTTCAGTTTTGATCTCACATACTGGTGACTGGTCCTTTTGTGTTGTTGTGGTCATGTTGTAGGCTAATTTTTAGGGGCTCTGAAACATTTTAAGACATTGTTGTCTCTTTACATTATGTGTATAGAATGTTGATGGATATTTTGAGAGGGTGATTTTACTGCATGGATAAGACTAGTGATTTTGAAAATTAAGTAATGTTTTGAATTATTCAGTGACATCATTGGACTATAACTGATTCAGAAATTGATAATATTGTTTCATCATTTTAGTCTTCATGTCAAGTAAGTGTTTGAAATTTTTTTATATAGAATTAATTAATGAACAATTGTTAATTTATAGCAGTATGTTGAAAAAAGACTTAAATGCTTTAAATTTTGTTCAATGATGTTGTATGGAAAAAATTCAAGGTTTATTTTTGGTTTTAATCTGATTATAATTTAAGATTATAGCAAAGTTAAATTGTTATCATTCATTATTTTAGAGCATACATTATTGATTTTTAATCCATACCATACTAAATAGTTACCTTAATTAATTGGAGGAGTTAATTCAGGACTCCTCCATATGTTTAAATCTTGACAAAACCATTCATTATTAAAGACAATTTCGAAATATGTGCTGACCTGAGAAAGAACCCAGTGCAGACCATGATCAGATGGCACTGACAATTATGCCTGTCCACTGATCTTGGTCTGTAACTGGTCACATTGGTACAGCCAGTTGCTGCTATCAGGCTAAAGGGTTAAAATGTCAGGTTGTAAATGTATTAATATTGTAATCTTATGATATATCTACTCGAAAATTGGAATCTTGGATTCCCCCCCCCCCCACCCCCTCAGGATTCCCGACAAAACATAACATTTCACAATATCTCTACTATGAGGCCTTAGGCCTCCTTTTATTATGTACTTTTTATAGATTTAAAAAATGTAGGAAAATTTATGTCCGGTTATGATATAAAAGCATTATTCAGGTTGACTTTTAAGGGCCATCAGGCTTTGAATAACACATTCATTGGCCAGCAATTTTCACTTAAATCATTCCTAGACAATGAAAATTTTATGATCTTTATTTTGTAATTTAATTAAGTCTTATATTGTTATATTGCTATTATATTAATACCAGTTTTCTTGTGATGGCATAATTAGTTCTAGGTTTTAATGCCTTAACAATTATGATAGTTTGTGGTGAAAGTTTACGTTTTTGATGGTGATTTATTCTTAAAGTGGTCTGCCTTTGATATTTCAACAACCCATGGAAGCCGTGGCCTAGTGGTCCGCGTCTCAAGCCAGAGATAATGGGTTTGAGCCCTACTTGCGTCACAGCCATGTTTCTTCATACGACACCAAGTACTAGTTGCTCCAGGATTTTAGCAGACTCGAAAGTGATTGATATAAGTTGCAAGAACTTGTTTTGCAATCAAGCTTAAATAAAATATGTTTAAACCAACAAACCGTCCCTGAATGTGTACACAATAAATGCAAAAAACAAGTCCTAGGTGTTGCAATGTATTCTCTTTCGATCGTAACATATTATTCATCATATGGGTGTTGAACAAATTTGTACTCGTCTAGTGCAATGAGCAATCAATTGTCAAACAAAAAAAAACCCCGGACACTTTAACAAGGAAATTACACCATATTCAAGGTGCACATTTAAACGTCTTAATGTAAAAGGCTGATTTACAAGATGTTATCTTACGCAGTGCAGAAACGTGCACAATTAATAACTTTTTTTCCCTTTCGATGAGACACTGAGCAGATCTGATAAATAGATTTTCTGGCAAGATTTTACTATTAGCCTTTGATAATTATTGCATTGGTTTCCTTAGATACAGACATTTTATCCGGAGTGTGTCATAACTTAATGATGATTCTGCACCAATATTGTTATAACAAGATTGATATTTTCCTAGTTATTTTGCATTGTAATGTGTGAGTATATGTCTAAAAGTAAATAATATTTAACTTTACATTCTAAAATTTTGATAATGTAGATTCATATGCCAAGATTTGTTAGCTTCAATTTCTGGGCTCATATATTTATATTGCACGTCCAAGGTTCAGATTTTAGATTTCACATGTCAGGCTCAAATTCGAGACTCTCATATTCCTGGGCTCATATTTGTGATGAGCAGTCTTTTATTTTCAAATCTCAGACTCAGATTTGTTTCACATTCTAGGCTCAAATTTGTGATTTCACTTCCTGGGCTCGAATTTGTGATTTTGTGTCAAGGGTTCAGATTTAATTTGTGATTTAAAGACATACAAAGCTTAACTATTTGTCTGAAATGCCATTTTGGCCTTTAATCTTTGGTATATGACTTAAATACTGTTAAAATAATACTACATTCAACAAATGAATAGATTGATATATATGTATAATTGCTACAAAATTATCAGGTTTTGAATTCATTTAATACTCAGTGATATCTGGTATTAAGAAGGATGTACATTATAATAAGGTCTTCTGTATGCAGATTCTTATTTATCTGGACCCAAAACTTTTCATTTGTTGCCCATATCCTAGATGATAAAAATTTATATATAAACAATTAAGTAAAAATGTATCCATAACTATAAAAACCTGGGAATCGAGACTGTTTTTATTGTTGATATTTACTTTAGAACAGTTTATGCCAGGTTTCTATTGATTCAGATAGAAAATTCTATACATTATTCCATAAAGAATAAGGTAGATGGTGCAGTCCATTGATTTTCGAGAATTGCTTCTCTCTGAGGTAACAATTGAATTTTGTTTTAAAACTGCCATAGAGATGTTATCATTGCATAGTGACAATAAAATTGGTTGCTATGTTACAGAAATTTATGATTGTTGAATATTTTCAATTGTAATTCTTGACTTAATAAGTCCATTACCGGTATCTAATTCTTGCTTTTAGATGAAGGACTTACATGCTGTTATAAAAACTTATCGATTTATTCCGAAAAAATGCATAGTCCTTGCTTGTAGAAAAAATTTTCTTTAGTCTGGAACTTATTATGATGTCATGCATTTTATGACATCAGAACTCAAAATGTCATAAAACCTTTAAAATGGCAACCATGCAGGTTTAGACTATTGTCCCTGATTGGTGGATCAGTGTTTGAACTGACCAATAATTGTGCTTCTTTTTAGGTCTTGACTTTAATTTCCATTGTATGTCGTTTGACCATATAAATATGAATAATAGGTCTACAAGGGAAATCAAAGACAATTAGTTTGCTGTAGGGGAGAAAATAATTAGGATGAAAAAAAAATAGGTATGACTGAAATGTGTATACATACATGTGACAACTGAAACGGGCCAAAACTGGATTTTCAGCTGGATTTTGGGGCTCAAAACTGGATTTTTTTATCGACTTAAATTTCAATGCGCGTTAAGCAAATTTGGTAGAAACCTTTTACACAAAGACCATTTTATAATAACAATGACAGAAAGTAAAAAGCAAAGTTTCTATTATTTTATTCATGATCTAATCAAGCACATTTAACAAAACAAAAACTTAATACTATTACATGTCCTATATCTAATTTCTAGTCACATTTCAATATCAATGTCACATTAGTTCTTTCTGGAACAATCACATTCCTTTATCAATCATTGTCATCACATCACTTCTCTAATGTCATCACATCACTTATCTTTATACAGTTGGCATGCATTTTTAACAGCAGTCATGAGTGACTTTTAGTGACTTTTCAAAAATATGCCAGGAAAGGGCTTGACAAATCATATTATTCTCCATCGTAAAATAATTATACAAAACATGCTAAAATAATTAAAGTAGATCAAAAGACGAATAGTTTTTCTCTGACAGTGTCCTATTATCCGGACATAAACATCTTTTGGACATCACAAAATACCGCCGCGTATTAAACAAATCCGCTAATTGCAGTCAGATGGCTATTCAAAGACACACTTAACGTGTGATTTCAATAATTATTATCCAAACAAACAATCAATTATCCAATTATCCAATAAACAATATCATAAAGTGTCACTCGTTAATCCTCTCATTCGGCACACTTGGACACTTACGTCCGAGATAATCGGCACACTTTGACTTTACCGTAAGGTGCGAGATATGGAATTTTACCGACGATTTTTTTTTTTTTTTTTTGTGAGAGACAAATATCGGGATTTCATAAGCTGATATCGGGAATCGGGATTAGGGTCTCAATATCGGGATTTTTTAAAATCCCGTCGGGATATCACATGTATGGTGTATAAGGTAGATTGATAAGCTCTCTTGCCATGAAATGATTCTCATCATTTTTCCATGGTCACAAGTTTCAGATGTTGAAATTTTGGTTGAAAAGATAAAAATAATAAACAGCATGTCATATTTAAATTAAAGAACACATGTTTAATGTACCTTTTTTATTGCATTGAGATAACAAAACATATTGTTTTACAATCAGGAATAATATAATTATTTAAAATAGGATAAGATAGAGAGGTTTTAGGATAGATATGGTAGTTTCCCAATTAACATTGGTAGTATAATTATGGTTAAAATAGGGTAAAATAAGGGTAAAAATAAGGGTTAAAATGTTTTTGATGTATACATGCTTTCAATAGAGTTGTAGAATTTTTTTTTAATTGGCAGATACCACAGTAAATGCTTATAAATGATTATATAGTTGCTAACAATTTATAATTTTATTTCTAGATGCAGCATCGTCTGGAAGACGTTTTGATAGCTCTGACGACAGTTCTAAGGCGTCGAGAGTTGGTGTACGACGTGTCTCGTCATCTAGGCTCTCCAGAGAGTCAAGGGAAGATAAATACAAGGGAGAGCAGCAGGAGGTATATACAATGTGTTTGAAGTGATTAACTCCCTTGATTTGAAAAAAAATTATCACACTGCCTGATTTTTTAGTTGCTGACATGTTTTGAGTTAATTTTTGTTGCGCTAAATGTTTTTGCTAGGTAACTTGTACTTAAATTATATGTTATCTAAGTGTCACATCCCATTTAAGTAATCTCTAAAATACAGTCAATTGAAAGTGATTGTAAGAAAATTGAATGTGTTTTTCCTGGTGAAAAAAATCCTCATTTTATAAAGAGAAAGATTAGCTATGCATAATTGAATTTTATCTGTGATATGGGTTTTAGATTGAATTTATTTATTCAAGTACAATGTATTATGAGTGTCAATTATAGTTGTGCATTTTGCTAGATAAAGTATTTAGATGTCATGTTACTATGTTTTTAACTGTTGTAATATTGCTTGTGTTTTACGTTTCCATGCACCTAGTTATATTTTGTGTGTTATATTCATATGAAGCCATATCTATATGTAGAAATTCTTCTGTTAGAAAATCAATTTGGGTGAGCCCATGTGGCCCAAATTGTAAAGGCTATAATTTCTCATTGCTATCGGTTTGATATTTTTAAATTTCAAGTTCTTCCAACACCAGTACAGCTGGAGAGACCTCATATATTTTTGGAGGCTAATTTTGACTTGATACGGCTTCATATGAACACATGAATGTTTGTTTACATTTTAATTTCATTTCGTTTGTTGCATTTTTATTTTCTAACATCACAGGTTTTTGAAGCCTTGAAGAGACATGACCTTGAAATTTCATTAACTAAACCAGGAACCAGTCATTTATCCTCATATGGGAACCAGTCCACAGACAAGCATGCTATTAACACTGATCATAAGCATCTGAATAACATTGAATCACCTCGATTTGCAAACAAGTCTGTTTTAGATAGTAATTCTGTTCTCCCATCAAGATTTGCTTTGCCTTCGAAAGTAAGTTTGAAATTGAACCTGATTTACCAAATTTGTGTAGATTTTTCAGATTTAATTTTAAAAATTGAAATAAGAATTCTCTTTCAATTATTCCGATTTTGCTCAATTTTGTTGAGTTCTGATATTTTGAATTTAATTTAACAAACTTCCATTTCTTTATATACTAATAATAATTTAAGCATATTCTGAAGTCCTGAATTTAATTATAAGCACTTTCTGAAGTCCTGAATTTAATTATAAGCACTTTCTTAAGTCTCGAATTTAATTATAAGCATATTATGAAGTTCTGAATGTAATTATAAGCACTTTTTAACCAGATTTTCCGAAGGAAAAACTGGTTATTAGATTGAGGTATGTCAGCGGGCGGGCGGGCGGGCGGATGGGCGTACGTAAACAATTTCTTCTGTGCGCAACTCCTCCTACATTTCTCAATGGATTTTGATGAAACTTTCACAGAAGCTTTGTCTTCAAGTGCCCTGGTGCATATTGTTGGGGTTTTATGATTGGATAATATTTGACCTAATTATGGCCCTTTGTTTTTTTTCCTTATACAGAATATATAATGAACAATTTCTTCTATGCTCAACTGCTACATTTCTCAACGGATTTTGTTCTAACTTTCACAAAAACTTTGTCATCAAGTCCCTGGCACATAGTGTCGGAGTTTTGTGATTGGATAATTTTTGACCTAATTATGGCCCTTTGTTTTTTTCCCATATACAGAACATATAGTGAACACTTCTTTTGTGTGCAATTCCTCCTACATTATTCATGATTTACATTGCACATAGTTACATTGTTTGTTGCTTGTATTTGTATTTCAACTTCAACATATTTATCTACAATGGTGATAATTGAAAACCTGGTTTCATGGCATTGCCATGTTTCTTGTTGAAGTTCTGAATTCAATTAAAAGCACTTTCTGATGTCCTGAATATAATTATAAGCGCTTTCTGTAGTCATGAATTTAGTTATATGCACTTCTTAAAAGTTTTAAAGCATTTTACATAATCTACAAGCCTTGTAAATGGTACAGGATAATCAATAGGCTAGAATTTCACAAAATATCAAAATAATAACAATAACAAACATCTGTAACACATGTTATAATAGGGATCAGCTGTGACAAGAAATGAACATATCAGTAAGATTAGAGTACTTGCCTGTTGTAACAGCTTTTACCATGCAATTATTCTGATATCACAAAATCAGGACTTTTTTTTTTACCCGAAATTTTATATTTTTATAACAGTTTTTACCATGACTTTGTAGTTATTCCGGTTTTACAGGATCAGGATTTTTTTTTACCAGAAATTTTATACTTTTAGTATTCATATTTATGTTTTAATTAATACATAAAGAGATTCCTTAACTTCTTTTGTTGCTGAAACTGTTGTCAGAAGATTTCAAAACTCAGTGTTTTTTGTGTTAAGATGATCATCAAATACATGTAATAAATTGTGAAATCAGGTTGTACATAAAAAGTATGTTTTATCACTCATGAAATATCAAAATTTTATTTTAAAGTAGCTACGTAACATTTTATATAATGTTTGTATGTCTTTCATTGAAAACCTTTAGAATTTATAAGTAAATCTTTAATAACACATCTGCTCTGATTTATTTTTAATGCTTTTTCCATTTCCATCAACTTAACATTTGCCATAATGAATATTAAACAGAACAATTCCTTACATATTTGTATGTAATCTTTTAAATGTAATAATATGATATTATATTTGAAGGGTAAACACTACTGTTTTTTCCCCCACAATTTTCAGGTCTCTGCTGCCATATCCAAACTGACGGAATCTTCTGACAAAACTTCCCAAGAAGGTTCGTCTAAGAAAACAGAGGAAAGTCATTCTCCAAAGCGAATACGCAGAGGGAATAATTTCTCCCAACTTTTACAAAAATTTTCTGGTTCCGAAGCTTCAAGTTCCGAAAGATCCGACTCTGAATCTCCAAGGAGGAATAAAATATTCTTAAAACGCCAACAAGCATGTGCAGTGAGTAGTGGTAGTAGTGATGAGACTAGAAGAACTCCAGAACGCACTCAGAGCTTAAAACTACGTAATAAAGAATCTCCAGTCATGGAGAAAGAGTCGGTCAGTTCAGTTCAGCGTTCATCAAGTTTTAAATCGGATTTTATGAAGCGAAAGTTCAGTCCAGAGCCTGATAACAGGAGAAGACTGCCAAGTACTCCAAATGAACAATCTGATCAACCTTCGCCTGAACTTGCTAAAGTTTTAAGCAAAAGAAATGAAATTGTTGCAAAGCAACAAGAAGATGGAGAAGGTTTAGAAAGGCAAAGGATTCATGATGGTAGGGTTGAGAAATCTGACAGGCATTATGCAGCTGTGGATGATGAAGTTATAGCAGATTCTGAAGTTCTTAAAATGTTAAAATCCAGAAGGAAAGAAACTGATTCTTCTATAGAAGCTTCATCTGTCTCAGAGAGTGATAATAAGTCTCAAAAATTAACTTCTAATGTTGAAAGTGCCTTTAAATCTGACACAAGAACTCAGCTGTTTTCTCTATCACCTCATTCGTCTTTGGAAAGTGGTAAAGAAAGAGGGAGGTTGCAATCTCAGTCTTCTGTAGAAAGTAAACTTACAGTCAATTTAACTACAACAGGAAAGGAGAAAAGTTCTCTCCCTGCCTCTAACAGTGATAAATCAGAAAGTGCCAAATTAAAATCTGATGTCCCTCATTTAGATCTCGCTTCAATAGACACAAGTTTAGACGTTCTTAAATCTGTTACTGATGATTTAGATGATACAAAACATTCCAGTGATAAATTCAGTTCAGATCTATCACATTTAAAAGTCACTTCTCCGACCCAAGTTGCCACATTTATTAAATCAGTAGAAAGTGATAGTAACAGTCAGTCAGAAGCTAAAATGAAATCTATTCATACCAGAATTGAGGCAGAAGAACAAAAATTTGCCAGAAGTACAGCAATTGAAACTAAAGCTGAAACTGTTCAGAGGCCTTCTTCACCAACCTCCCCATCCCAAGGCAGTATTAACATTACAAGCAAGAGTGAGATAATGAGGAAGATCTCAACAAAAGAAAGAACTCCAGAAAGGCAAAGTCCTAAAAGATCTGGACCTATGAAAGTGACAACACCATTGAATGCCTCTGGTTTGTTTTTACTCTGTACTTATTCCTGTCAGTCTTGTTTGATAATTGTTATTACTACATCAAATTTCTTTATCAATGTTTTTCCCGCTAGATATGTTTAATGGACCTGTTCTTCTTTCAATCTGGAAAAAATCTGTCATCAATTAAATGGGAAATTTTAGAAATAAGTACTGACGAAATAACAAACAATGCAGACAATTTGAAAAATATAATTATTAGATTATGATCATTTAAAATATTCTATTAAAGTTTTTTCTTACACTAGTTATTATCATTGTGGACAACTTTGTTATCATCAAATTGGTTAAAAGCCCATACTTCTTTAAACAAACCAGATATTCTATGATTTAGGCTCAGGACTGACAAGGACGGAATCAGTTGGTCGTACAGAGTCAGAGAGACCAAAGGGTATTTTGAAGAGGACACCTTCATTGAAGCAGAGTGGCGTTATCGTAGATCCAGAATTAGCTGAGGTGTTGAAGTCAAGGCGACAGAGACATGATGAGGTGGATGAGGAAGAAGAAGAGCAAAAACTTACAGCACAAGAAGAGATACAAAAAGCCAGGTATGATGCTGAATCTTTTCTTGATTATTTGTATGGTATCAATATTTTTAAAGTTGTTCGGTTGCTATTTTAAATGATGATTTTTTTTTCCAATTCATACTAAGATATCCTGTGTTTCCAAAGCACAGGCTTAAGAAAAATTCAACATATAAACATGAAAATGGCAAAATGATTACTTAAAAAAAATCGGCAGATCTATCATGGAACCATATGACATGTTTGTACCATTCTGTGAAAAGTGGCTTAATGTCCCCAAGTAAGGGAATGTCAGTGCCCCAAAGGAGGAAACAAGTAGTGTTACAAAATTAAATGGAATTTTGGCAGGGGAATTCAGAGGTTATGAAGCCTGTATAAATTATCATAGAAAAGATGTCAAGCACAATTTTAAAAAAAGAATAACTTAATTCCTCACATTAGTGCAGTAATGGGTTGACTTTTATTGAAATTTTGTATGAGTTAATCCATTACTACACTAAAGTGACGACAAATGCTGCATATAGATGTCTAAATTGAAGTGAATTTACCAAAATTTTTTAAAAGGACAAAATTCTGTCACTTTGAGGAACCAATTTATATTAAGATTCATGACATATTAGAAAAGTTTAATATGGAAACTGGTTGAGGATAGTTCTATGTGCAATAAGATCTCAGCATATGACATTTTTTCCATAAATTGAATACATGAGCCATGTTATGACAAAACCAACATAATTTTTACCTTCCAATCCTTATTATTGTTTATTTTGTGATACTGTGATACAGTGCAACAGTTATAGCAATAAATGAAAATACTTCTGTGAAATATTATATTGCATGATGGAACCAGCCTGCTAACAGATTTTTGTAGAAAGTTAAATGCAAGACTGGCATATCTCTGTATGCAATAATATTATAGAGAACAAAGAGTTATGACCTTATTGCAATGAACTGGTAGATAGATTCCAGGCAGTGTGATAAAAGAAACATTGTTCCATTAATAAATGATATTGTAACACTTACAAGTAATTAATGCATTAATGGAGGGAATCAGTTGTTGCTATTATTTTACTTTCTGCTGATTTCTGATATTCAAAGAAAAATCATAAAATTAGGTTCGAATTATTGCTCTCTTACAGAAACAAGCCAATCAAAAGGTAACAATATGCTGAACTAATTAACACTTTATCATGTTTTGCACAGTTGCAGTTAATGTACATGTGATTTTATACCCAAAATGAATTGAGAGATAACCCACTGTTTTCAGCTTTCTTTGTGTATGTAATGAGAGGAAAGTCTTTACCATTAATTGATTGGTGTGTCTTTGGGAAACAAAAGGGAATACGTGAATTCTTATGAGAGGATGTCATAACCATGAATAAGTTTATCTTTAGGAAACAAAAAGGAATAGGTGGCTCCTTATGAGGGAATGTTTTTACTATGAATTAGTTTGTCTTTAGGAAACAAAAAGGATTAGGTGACTCCTTATGAGGGAATGTCTTAACCATGAATAAGTTTATCTTTAGGAAACTAAAAAGATTAGGTGGCTCCTTATGAGGGAATGTTTTTACTATGAATTAGTTTGTCTTTAGGAAACTAAAAAGATTAGGTGGCTCCTTATGAGGGAATGTTTTTACTATGAATTAGTTTGTCTTTAGGAAACAAAAAGGATTAGGTGGCTCCTTATGAGGGAATGTCTTTACCATGAATTGGTTTATCTTTAGGAAACAATAAGGAATAGACAGCTTCTTATGAGGGGATGTCTTTACAATGAATTAGTTTGTCTTTAGAAAACTAAAAGAAATAGGTGGCTCCTTATGATGGAATGTCTTTACCATGAATTAGTTTGTCTTTAGAAAACAAAAAAGAATATGTGGCTTCTTATGAGGGAATGTCTTTACTATGAATTAGTTTGTCTTTAGGAAACAAAAAGAAATAGGTGTCTCTTATAAGGGAATGTCTTTATCATGAACTGGTTTATCTTTAGGAAACAAAAAGGAAAAGACAGCTTCTTATAAGGGAATGTCTTAACATGATTTTGTTTGTCTTTAGGAAACAAAAAGAAACAGGCGTTTTTTATGACCATGAATTGGTTTGTCTTTAGGAAACATAAAGAAATAGGTGGCTTCTTATGAGAGGAAAGTCTTTACCATTAATGGGTATGTCAACAAAAAGGAATAGGGGGCTCCTTCTGAGGGAATGTCTTACCATGAATTGGTTTGTCTTTAGGAAACAAAAATGAATATGGGGCTTCTAGTAAGGGAAAGTCTGTACCATAAATTGGTTTGTCTTTAGGAAACAAAAAGAAATAGGTGGCTCCTTATGAGGGAACGTCTTTTCAATGAATTGGTTTGTCTTTAGGAAACAAAAAGAAAAAGGTGGCTTCTTATGAGGGAAAGTCTTTAGAATTAATTGGTTTGTCTTTAGGAAACAAAAAGAAATAGGTGGCTTCTTATGAGGGAAAGTCTGTACCATGAATTGGTTTGTCTTTAGGAAACAAAAACAAATAGGTGGCTTCCAACCAAAGACTTTTTGGGTAAGCTAAGATGATCTAGCTATGAAACAGAAAGTCAGTTGTTGTAATGATGTGCCCGTAAATGCCTGAAATAATAAATGCAAGGCTACCAAAAAGGTTTTCCTTCATCACTAAAAAAAAAACCTTTACAGTGCCAGTAATGACCTGATAATGGAAATAAAATTGAAGGTTTCAGAATCTGATGCAAATTTCACCTTTGTGTGTTTTCTGTCTTCACCAACCTTTTCCTTCTGTTGATGAACTGCATCAGCTGAGCTTATTTGTTCGTCTGACTCTGTCTGGTATACATGTTTATGTCTAGATTGTATATTTTGTAACTAACACAAAAATTGGTTGAATACGAGTGTGAGTTTCTCTTTTTCACTGAGATTGCTTTTATTTCTAGTCTAATATTACATACATTATCACCTGCACTTGTAACACTCATTTTCTGCAATAATTTATTTGAAGGAACATGGTTGGTTCTACTCAGGTGCCTATTCGTGCCTGAAATAAGGCACAGAAGGGCATCTGAAGTCTTCTTCCACAAGTAAAGTCGCCATATGACCTATACTGTGTTGGTGCCATGTTAAACCTACAAAAAAATGTTTTCATTCAAACAGTCGTTGTGGAATTGGCCAAATGATGTCTTAAGCTTTCAGTGGTCACAGTTATTAATTTACTATTTATAGGGGAGTTTAGGTGATTGATGTAATTTCAGGGAATTATTATGTGCATAATTGTAGAATAAAATATAAAGTCCAGGTCAAATTTAAGACCAAAATGAATTAATGCGACCATTTTTAATTATTGTCCAATCTTTTGTTTTTTTCTTACTAGATATCTATAACAAATTCTTTTTTAGAAGTGCTCTATCACTATTCATGAGAGATCATTCAATTTTCTATAACTTGCATTTTTCATGCACAAGTCAATTTGAAGCTAAGACTGAGAAACTATGTAGTTACATACAAAGTTTAATTGTTGTTGAAATGAACATCTTGCATTTAATTATGTTATGTATAAAGAAGGAAAATAATTGGGATAAATATATATCTGTATTGGTTGTTAGTCATTATAAACACTAGCCATTGGATATGTGGTATCAGTTAGGGTTCAACCTAAGAACACTATTATTATGTTATGGTGTAGAAAGTTACATATGGTTATAGTTTGTAAGATACTAATTAATGTAGGCTTCCTGATAGACAGTATACATGATATATGGATTATTATTATTAATTAACAGATAATCTGATTCACCAAAGCCTAAGGCATTTATTTGAATAGATGACACTAGGCTTTTGAGTTTTAGCTGAATATAGTAAATATATGTACATGTAGAATAGGTCTTCTATTGACCAGCATTCATATGTCCGTGCCATGTCGCACCTCGGTAAAAAGAATTTGTAGCTGTAACCTATACTTTGAAGCTTTTTCATTTCTGGCATTATCTTCTCTTGCAGGTATGAGTACAGTTTCAAACTCAATCATGGATTTGACAAAATTATGCCCTTTTTGAAACTTTGTAAGCTGAAATTTTGGTAAATTTTCATGCAGAATTTTATCATTTCTCTTGTATTTTTCCAAAATTTTAGTTTTTGAAGATATATTATTCTACTCAACTAGACATTCTATGAATTAATAATGGTAAATGTGTTGCAGTTTCCAAATTTGAGTTGATACAAACATACTATAATATTATTATATTAATTTTACAGTTGAAAGTTGATACTTTGACTAAGTTAACTTATGACTGTAATAGAATCATTGTCTGAGACCATTGCCCCACCCCCTCTCCACAAATATAAAATATACATAAAAAAAAGAAAGATTAACACCGATATGACTAAAACTTGCAATGTACCTATTTTATATTAAAGATGAAAGATTTGAAATTGTGTAAACTAACATCATTCTATCAGTACCTTCTTTTTATCATGTCACTTCAAAATGTCTAGATTAAAAGTTCTAGGTAACTGGTTATTAAACTAAGGTAAGTAATTATAAAAGTGAACACTCCAATTGTATTACCTTGATGGTAAGAAGATGGGGTATGTAACTGTGGCAGATTGCCATTACGTTTGGCATTGCCGGTGATTGTAGCGGAAATTTCTAAAAATAGACCAGTTACCTGTGTAACAGTGGGTCGTTTGTGTGTTGGTGCTTATAGCACATGTTTACATATTGTGTGAACAGAAAACCTTGGGACTAAAACAAGATTGTTATTCTGATTAAGTTTTCTTGGAATATTATAAACGTGAAGAAAGTTTGTATATTTTGAGTTTTTGATATCACTAAGGCATAAAATTTTGCTGTTTAATCTATCCGTCATTATGTTGCACTGTTTTAAAATGTTATTTCGTAAGAATGTGCCAATATTGTGCATCTGTATCATACTGTATTTATTATCATACATAATGCTTGTATATTGTCAGAAAATGCAGGTTTTCTTGTCAGTCATTGCCAGTGGTATGTTCAACATCTGAATGATTTGATTATTTCTACTTCAAGGGTTTGAGCTTAGTGTCATTTTAGGGAATGATATACATAATTGTGCATTCTGGAATTAAATGTTTTGTTTACAACTTGGCCAAGTGAAATAGTGTTTACGGTCTTTTATTTTATGTGAACTAGATGTATAGATGTAATCCATTTTAATGCTGAATAAAATATGGAAACAATGGTTACTTTAAAGGCATGGTAACTGTCAGAATTTATACACTTTTCATTCTTTAGAAAGGTTAAACATTTTTTTTAATGGATTTAGAGTATGTTAAATGTCTATCACGATCCTGTAGGAAGTAGCACTAAATGTGAGTATCCCTGTCAGGGGCAGGCCGATGTTTCCTTGCGCAAGACATTATGGGGTATAATGGGCCTGGGGTATAATGTGCCTTTAAATGTTTACTGACTTCATAAAATCATCGTATGCCAGAATGATTGTTAAGAGACTGATACTCAGGCATTTTCAAGAAAACACAGAATACAATGTAGAATTTGTTTATGTGAGGAAGCTTTCTTGTTTATGGTACAAAGAGACTAATGGTTTATAATTAAAGAGTATGTACATGAAATTTAACACATTGGCAGCGCAAGTTTTTCTATATAGGCTAGGTTATGAAGATCCCTTAACAATGTTACACATTTATGATGTACTATAATTATTATTATATAACTATACCAGTGTTGAGATGTTTGTTCATTCACAGCCAAAGATGATCATAAAACATTGTTGAATTGTGTAGATAACTGCAATATAGTTTGGGTTTTTTCTCTTGACATGTTTTGTCCTTTTGCCAGATAGTGTAATAATATTGATATGATTGAACGAGAAATGTTATAACTGAAAACATTCAGTACAGAATATTGTTATTATTATTTCAACTAAAAGAAATATATATCTTTGGGCTGTGAATTTTACTTTAATACGTGATTTTGTAGGGTTGTTAATTAGGCTTTAAGAAGAAAGACAACTCTTACATTGCAAATTGCAGTATCATTTTTCTCCCTTGGTCAACATCTGGCAAAAAAAGGCAAGTTCTTGATAGTCTGAAAAACTGAACCCTGTTGGAACTGACTGTGATTAAATTTTTGTCAACAGTAAAGACATTAGTCAGCTTTAAACTGTTGATAGCTTTGATAATTATAACATTTCTATCATCTTCGTAAAATCGCCTAGGTTTCCGAGGATGTTGTTCTGTAAACAATAAATGGACTGTTGAAAATTGAAAACTTGGCAAATCTTAACCATAATCTCTGCAGGTGAAGGGTTAATATTTAATTATCCTAAAATACATGTACATTTATGTAAAAATAAAAATATTTTTAACCATGAAATCAGTAAAATTATTTACACGGTACTTGTGTTAGATATTGTATATATATTATAAAATAAAATCACTTGATAGTTGTTTATCTAATTTGATAATATTTAACTTATAAACTTGTAATCATTACTAACATGATAATTACTTTGGTCAAATGCTTAGTTTAATGACTTCATACTTTGACCTTTATTAAAGGAGCTCCACCGAGGTCAAAAAGCCTAAAAACATACAATTTGAAATTCTTATATGTTTGTAAATTTGCAATGGATAAAAAGGAAATATATTCAGAATCAAATTGTATATTGATTTTCTTCTGCCATTCTTTAAGCCCCATTTAGTTGAAAGCGTTGCAATTAACAATTTTCATTTTGGGTCACATTGCACAAAGGAAAAAAAAAATATCTGAAAATTTGCCCACAAGTTACTGGTCCAGACTTACATCGAATGGTACACAAATCTTGGGAAAATATTTCCACTAACCTCATGTAAAAAAAAAAAAATCAGTGGAGTCCCTTTAATTTATCAAATGCTTAGATTAAGAATGATGTCATTCCACTTTAAATGAGATTGTAACAAGTCCTATGTCAATTTAAAAAAGAAAAGTAGTACTAGGAAAAAATACTGGTTTTCTATATGAATAATAATTACGTAATCATGAAATCTGCAAGAAAAAAAAACAACATCAAAATATGGCTGATGTCACAGACTGATATTATTTTGGCTTTTTTGTCAACAGGACACTTTTTACCAGCTTAAAACTTAATAGGAGTTAACCAGTCATTGCACTCAGGGCATTTTTTTTCAGATAATGTTAACCGTCTCAAATATTGTTGTATGGTTTTGAACCATGATTTTGGGCTTGAATACTAATTTAAGGTATCTCTTTGTAAAATCTTTCAATCTATATCTTATCTTTTAATTTTGTACATAGAAAGGGAGATTAGTAAGTTTTGACATTTTGACATATTTATTACCTCCCTTGTACAATATGTTTTTCAGAGAAGAAGCTCAACAGAAAGATGATGCTCCAAAAGAAAGGGAAGTTTCTGTGGCTGAGAGAATCTTTCAGATGCACACAAAGATTGAGGAAGTAAAGTCATGTCCGATAACTCCAAAAGCCCGATCAGGATTTACAACACCAAAATCATCAGCTCTACAAAGGTTAGTCTTTGGTCAATTTTTAGCTTACCTGTCACAAAGTGACATAGTGAGCTTTTGTAATCGTCTCAGCTTAGATATTTATCATGAAACATCTTCTAATGGGTATCTACCAAAATTTTTCAAATAAAAGCCCTAGGGTTAAAATTGGCGCTACCCCATGGGCCTATATACAGGTGAGCAATTTCAGGGCCATTATGACCCTCTTGTATTTGTGTGTAGAGCCTAAGGCCCTTATTTTAACCCTCAAACTGCATGAACCAAAAATGATAAAGTCACAGTACAGTCTGATCTGGCTTTTTACTGTTGATAGCTGGAATGACAGTAATAGACAACAATTTTTTTTAATCTTAATCTTTAGGTCCCTACTGTTTGTAATTACAGAAAATCCATTTGTGCTTCATATTCCTGTCCTGTATTAAGATTCAAATACTTTACAGTGAACTCAGTTTCACCAACAATAAGGTGTAGATGAAATTTCCACCTATCTGGCCATCCACCTGATGGTGGTAGAATTTTTATTGTTCCTACTTCGCTACAGCACTCCTCTATACAGTAATGAGGATCTTCACGGGTAGATCTAAATAGAAATACATATCTCTCAATACATTTTTCTACTGTAGTGGTTATATCATACCCTTCATATTTAAATGTCTGTCCATACTCCACTATCTGACCTTTTTCAATCATCTTCCAATATATCATGTCACAACATAAGACCCCATCACAAATAATCATAAGTTGAATTGGATCTATTCCCACTCTGAATTGTCTTTTATTTGCAAATCCATAAGAGTACCTGGACTTACGTTGTATGATATTTTTAGGTTTCCAGCCCATCATCACTGCCCCATTTAACACAGCCAGTCTAGCATCATCTACAAGGATAACTCTCATATTTCTGAACTGTGATTGAATTCTCTCCCTTACATAGGGAGATTCACTGTATCCTCCAACTAAAATGATTGTTTTGATTTCATTTTCATCACATTTATTTAGTATTTCAACCAACTTGCTAATGATTTTATCAACTGATGGCTTAAATAATTCTTCCAGCATCTCTCTGTTAAGTAAAAGTCTAGCTTCAATTGAATGATACTCGAGTTTTCTGGCATATTTCGACTTATTTACTATATCATTCAAGTTCCTTTTTTCCCTCTTATGAAATGCACCAGAGCATTTTCCATTTTCAGTTGTATAGCATTTGTTTCTGATTTAAACTCTTTCTTCTTCAGTCTAAACTCATTAACAAGGCTTACACATGCTGATGGGAAGGTAGTTGAGAATTCACTCCAAACCTTTTTTCCTATTAAAGTTTTCATCATGTTAATAAAACAATCATCAACATCACTGCCACCAGAGGTTTCTCCTGTTGTTCGGTATATTTCTTGTATTTTCCTACCATCTATTATTTTATGAGCACATATGTCTGTTGTCCCTCCACCTAAATCAGCAAGTATGTACATAAATCCACACGGTATTTCTTCTGTCATTATTCGTGGTGTACTGTATAAAGCTGCTGCTTCAGGCTCAAGAACAAGTCGAAGATGTGTCTCTGGAATTCCTGCATTTGTTGAAGCTTCTCTCATGAACTGACGTGCTGAGTCAGATGATATTGCTGGAATTGTTATCATCCATTGAATGTCAGTTTTTTTCAGTTCAAGTATTGATTCACAAACTATCTTTGATGCTTCATCTTTTAGATGTTTTATTGCTATTGAAAACACTGTCATAGCTTCAAGTGGTTTACCAGAAATATCTTTAACTACCATTTTTCTTTCAATTTTACTTTCATGATATATTTTCATTTTAAAGTTTTCAAAGTAGTAAAATTTGGATCTGTCACATTGAGAAAGCTTGTAAAATTCAGTCTGTGCTTTGTATCCAAATGAATGGAATGTTTTGTCTGGTTTTAATAACAATACTGTAGGTACTCTATCTTCCTGCATCATTCCTCCATGTTCTGCTGATTTTATTTTGTCTTCATTTCCCTTAAAGGAATATGCAAACCCGGAATGAACTGTTCCAAAATCTATGGCTACTACAACAAGAGGCTTGTCCACTTTATCTTCATGTAGAGAATCCTGAGATTCTTTCTGTCTCCTTTCATTACTCTGTTCAGTTTCTTGTCTAACTGTAGGTTGTATGGTTGCTCCCATACTTGTTACAGTTTTAATTTAATAACTTATCCTAGTTAATGAATCTGAAATTAAAAATAAAAAGGTTTTTTTTTACTCTATATATATTGTACTGCTACTGTTATTGATATCGTTTATATACAAATAGAAAATTGAATTTGACTAAGTTTTCTACCTACCTTCATTTCTATTTAAATATTTTCAAGTGATAACAGAACTCAGTTTTGTGTTTGTATTTTTTCTTCAATTTTGTTTCTTTTATTTAGATACACCTGAATGTCAGACAAAAATCCCCTTCATGTATTTTTGTTTATCTGGACATAATCCCCTCCATGGGTGGACATAATTCCCTTCATGTGTGAAATTTTGAAGTGGACAAAATCCCCTCAATAAAATTGCAACAAAATCCCCCTCATCATTTTAATCAATTAAAATGAACACTGTTAAACTAATTAAAATGTTTTTCATACTAATCAATTTAAAGCAGTTAAAGAAATTGCTTAATCAAATTTATCACACACCCGTGCCGATTTTGCGACTCCGTAAATATGGTATTGCACGGCCGTGCATATATTTTGACGTGACGTCATTAGCGTTATTCAAACATTGTGTAAAGACGCGCTAAATGTTAGCGTTATACTATAGGCGCGTCAATGAAAAACGACTCTTATTTTACCTTAAACGGTCTTTATTTTGGGTATGTGATAAATAGAATATTAAATTCGTGTAACTTCATTACTGAATTTATTGCACTCGTTGAATAAAATAATATTATGCTCGCCAGAGGCTCGCATAATATAATTTTATTCAACTCGTGCAATAAATTCAGTATTGAACTTACACTCATTCAATATCCTCTATATATTTGTTATGCAGTTGATAATTTACCACAATTATAATGAACACTGATAAACCTGTTAAATCGTTTTTAATGATAATTTGGTTGATAATTGATCGGAACAAATAATAAAAATATGTCTTATCAAGCTTATATAATTATAAAGGTTAACTTGATACATAATTATAAATAAAAAAAACAAAAGTTCATTATAATTCATCAATTTTTATTGAGCATAAAAATACATTATTCATCAATTTTATGGACCATAATAATACATCAGAAAACTATGAAACAAGGCCGAAGGGGGTTTTGTCCTGGTAGGTTAGGGGATTTTGTCCGGCCTTGCAAAAACATGAAGGGGATTATGTCCACCCATGAAGGGGATTTTGTCCGGGTATGGGAAGGGGATTTTGTCTGAAGGGGATTATGTCCATACACCTATATGGCGCCCTTGGAGATTTTTGTTATTGAGAATTTGAAATATGATCATTCAATATATTCTTTATTGTATTGGCCTTGTATACATATACCTTTATCAAAAAATGAATAGATGTATTGAAAATTGTGATATTCATAACCTTAACTTAAATTTAATTGATTTTTAGAAAGAAGAAAAAAGTTTTATAGGATAATAAACTGTATTAAATCTAATAATTTAATAATTTTGCCTAATTAGGATTTGTCATCTTAAAGTAATTAATTATTACAATCTTCAAAAATTTATTCATGAGTCCGGGAGGGAGGGGGGATATACTTAAAAAAAGCACATGCCGATTTTTGTGTGATATTCATTATTTATATATTTCTAGGATATTTATATATATATATATTGATACTGTCATATCAACTTTATGCTGATTGCAAATACAAAAAAAAAATGCAATTTATATAGCAGGGTTTTTTTTTAAGGTTAGAAAATTGAGCTCATGTATAATAATTTGTATTTATTTGGGGGTTAGTATTTAAGGTTTTCTGTCTGCTACAAATAATTATGTAGTTCATTCGTAGAATCTATGTATTACAATTTTTTTAAGTGCCATTTAACTATATACAGGGCTTCTTGTTGTTTATTGTAATTTACTGTGATATTGACATTTTATGGCCAATATTTCAGTAATTAATTAATTTTTTACCTGAAATTTTGATAGAGTATTAATTTTGATAGATATTAAAGGGACTCCAGCGATGTTTTTTTTACAAAACTCAGGCCAGAATATTTTTTTTCAGCAGTTTTGATGTAGGTTCCCGACCAATAACTTGTGTGCATAGTTTCACATCTGAGTCCCTCTTTTCCTAAAATTAATATTTATTTTATGCATTACAATCATGCTAATAATCAGACACAATTATTTTTTAGCTTAATTATCAGCATATTCGCTATTATCCTTTGCAAATGTTTCAGTTTCAAGTGCTTCACTTGATGTATGTAAAAATTTAAAATTTTATATTTTAGGCTTTAGGCCAGATTGGAGCTCCTTTAATGATAGGTCAAAAGTGAAGAATAAATAATTAGAAAAATGCTGATTTATTATTATAGATTTTAACATTTCATAAATATTTCTGTTAAAAAAGATTTTAATTAATTTCACTTACCATTACTCCTTATCCTATTTCACAAAAATGTTAAATTTCAATTTAGACTTGTGCCATACATTAACATATTGATTTACCTTCATCCACTGTTTTAGCTTAAAGATTAAGTTGAAAAGCCCTATAGATATGAATTCTATAGCTCTGTCTTATTGTTTCAGATTTAAAATAAGATGAATTTAATCTTGGCATCAAAATGTAAAGGTGTTCATAATTTGTAAAAAACCTTTGTCTTGATTGCCAAAAATACTATTTGTTTTGTTATTAAATTATGATGGAACAATCTAAATCTTATTGATAATATTCTATGCTTTATTACTTTTGTCTACACTAAAAGAAATATCTTTAATTTAAAGTTGCATACATTTTGGTAAATAAATTTGTATTGATTCTGAAATATACCCCTTCCTTATAATAAGCTCCCAAGCACCCCATTATGCAGAACTTTAAGCACGATAGCATGTTCAATAATAAAGCTCATATTTTTCAAGAAAATAATGATGACAAATATGAACAATAATTTATTAAACCAGAACAAATATTTACTTGAAACTTAAAATTTATATGAATGGTTACAAGCAAGCTCAGATGACGAAAATTCTACATTTCCATTGAATTATTACACAAGTTATGCCCCTTTTAGGCTTAGAAAATGTTCTGATATAACCATTAATACTTAAATGTTTCTGAAACTAGAACAGATATTCACTCGAAACTATATAATATATGAAGGGTCACAAGTAAGCTGAGTATGCAAAGTTTTTCCACTCTTAATTACATTTTGACATAATTATGCTATTTTCTTAACTTCACTACTACTTTTGTTTGTTTTACTACATTGGGAAAATGATAGGTTATTTGTAACTGTTTTGAACATGATTTGACAATATATAGTAAAACTATTACCTGTACAATTTGGTTTTTTTTCCACCAGAGATATTTTCTTTTTATGTATATGTATTTGTGCCACTTAAGTTATTCCCTTAACCACCTTTCAAAGTCTTCTTCTGTCAAGGACATTGGTCGGGGTATGAATCGCATTCAGCGATAGTTCTAGTTTCTGCGGGCTCCAAATTCTGCGTTTTTCCCAATTTTGGCATGTTTTTATTACCGTGACTTTATTTCTGTGGCACATTGTTTGGACAAAACAATATTCAAATTCTGCGGGTGACCTTATCATAAAATGTCGCCATTGTCATGGTGGAGCTACAATAAAGTTTACTTTTCGTACAGACTATTTTGTTATAAGTATCACAGATATCACCATAGCAAAGATAAATTACAACTGCAAGGGAGCTAACCGAGAGCTGGACAAAAAAAAGAAAGCGGTGACCAGACTTTATTTGAATTTATTTCAAAACAAACATTTAAATACATCAATGACTAAGTCATATTACTCTACCTATAACATTTGCATAAACATATTTTCATTTGTTCATCTTTGGCACTGCAAAAAAGTAATTAATACTCATTTGGTGATGTGCAAACAAAAATAATGTGCAACAATATTAAAGTATGCATCTTTTGATCAGCGTGAATAGAAGTGTGAAAAATATTATTAACGGGTATATATGATGTTTAAATATCTTTATTCATAAATTGACATAATGAACAGTAAGTGCATCCTTGCAAACACCCATTTCATACTTAGCCCACAGCAATTTCATACAACACAATGACCGGCCAACCGTTATAATCCGTTAGTTTTTTTACTTTAGATGACACAGGTCATAATGTAGGACACAAATCATAACGGGGTAAAAACAAAACATGGGGAATTATTCTGCAGTTTTAATTTCTGCAGTGCTAAAACTGATCGCAGAATAGGCAAAAATAAAGTCACCACAGAAAAAAACACTTACCACAGTATTGATTTTGTAATTTGATTATGATAGAACTATTTAAATCTTGTTGATAATATTTCATGCTTGATTAATTTTGTCTACACTAAAACAATATCTTTTATTTAAAGTTACAAATTGGTAAATGAATTTGTATTGAAACTTATATAAACCCCTTCATTATAACAAGTACCCCAAGCAAAAGTTATAAAGCAAGATATGTGTCCAGTAACAAAGGTCAGATTTTTCAGGGAAATAAATAAAAGATAAAGGACAATAAATTTGTCATTTATTATTGTTCTTCATTTATTGATTAATGTTTCATGAAACAGCCTTGGTGATGACAATTTATTTTACTTAATATATATTACACTTTGAACTTTGTCTGCAAGCCCACCCCCTCTCCTGCTCTTTATTATTAACCAGTCTGTAATTTGCCCTAGCTTTTTGTCTACATTAATTTCAACACTCAATTGATGTCTTCATCAGCCATCCTGAAGACATAATAAAATGGTAAAATCCAATACCAATTCTTTTGCTTTACTTATTCAGGGCAATTCCATTCTGTAGAGAGGAAAGATTGGGAAGAAAAAAATCTGCTCATTTCCCTCTTCTTTTCCTTAACCAGTCTTATACCCTTGTTTCTTGGTATATAACTGAAAAGTACTACAATGAAATATTTAAGAAAACAATAATTCTGTCTAAGGTATGTCTTTTCTACAGTCTGAATCATTTCTTCCATTAGCACATTACATGTAGAAATATAACACTGTACTTGTGAGAATAAAATTAATATATTTCGCAGTATCTATTTAAACATCACTATCTTGTTATGTTAAAATGGCCATCACTTCTACTTTATCCTGTGAAAGGAATGACCATTTTAAGAAATGAAAGTAATAGACAACAATTGTTTTTCAATCTTAATCTTTAGGTCTCTACTGTTTGTAATTACAGAAAATCCATTTGTGCTTCATATTCCTGTCCTGTATTAAGATTAAAATACTTAACAGTGAACTCAGTTTCACCAACAATAAGGTGTAGATCATGATCCCACATATCTGGCCATCCATCTGATGGTGGTAAAATTCTTATTGTTCCTACTAAGCTACAGTCTTCCTCCTCTATACAGTATTGAGGATCTTTTTGGGTAGATCTATATAGATCTACATATCTCACTTTATATTTTTCTTCTACTGTAGTGGCTGTTTCATACTGTTCAGATATAAATGTCTGTCCATACTCCACTATCTGACCTTTTTCTATCATCTTCTGAAATATCATGTCACAATAAATGTCCCCATCATAATAAATCCTAAGTTGTTCTGGATCTATTCCCTTTCTGAATGGTTTATAAACTGCAAATCCATAAGTGTACCTGGACCTACGTTGTATGATGTTTTTCGGTTTCCAGCCCATCATCACTGCCCCATTTAACACAGCCAGTCTAGCATCATCTACAAGGATAACTCTCATTTTACTGAATGTTGACTGAATTCTCTCCCTTACATAAGGAGATTCACTATATCCTCCAACTAAAATGATTGTTCTCATTTCATTTTCATCACATTGTTTTAGTACATCAACCAATTTGCTAATGATTTTATCAACTGATGGCTTGAATAAGTCTTCCAGCATCTCTCTGTTGATTGTAAGTCTAGCGTCCATAGAATTATACTCAAGTTTTCTGACATATTTTGACTTTTTAACTATATCATTCAAGTTCATTTTTTTCCCTCCTATGACATGCACCAGAGCATTTTCCATTCTCAATTGTATATTATTTGTTTGTGATTTTAACTCTTTTTTCTTCAATCTAAACTCATTAACAAGGCTTACACAAGCTGATGGGTGGGTAGTTGAGAATTCACTCCAAACCTTTTCTCCTATTAAAGTTTTCATCATGTTAATAAAACAATCATCAACATCACTGCCACCAGAGGTTTCTCCTGTTGTTCGGAATATTTCTTGTATTTTGCCACCATCTATTATTTTATGAGCACATATGTCTGTTGTCCCTCCACCTAAATCAGCAAGTATGTACATAAACCCGCATGGTATTGCTTCTGTCATTATTCGTGGTGTACTGTATAAAGCTGCTGCTTCAGGCTCAAGAACAAGTCGAAGATGTGTCTCTGGGATTCCTGCTTTTGTCGAAGCTTCTCTCATGAACTGACGTGCAGAGTCAGATGAAATTGCTGGAATTGTTATCATCCATTGAATGTCAGTTTCTTTCAGTCCAAGTATTGAATCTAAAACTATCTTTGATGCTTCATGTTTAAGATGTTTTATTGCTATTGAAAACACTGTCATAGCTTCAAGTGGTTTACCAGAAATATCTTTTACTACCATTTCTCTTTCAATTTTACTTTCTTGATATATTTTCATTTTAAAGTTTTCAAAGTAGTAAAATGTTGATCTGTCACATTCAGAAAGCTCATGAAAATCAGTCTGTGCATTGTATCCAAATGAATTGAATGTTTTGTCTGGTTTTAATAACAATATTGTAGGTACTCTATCTTCCTGCAGCATTCCTCCATGTTCTGCTGACTTTATGTTGTCTTCATTTCCCTTAAAGGAATATGCAAACCCGGAATGGACTGTTCCGAAATCTATGGCTACTACAACAAGAGGCTTGTTTCTGCTTTTATTACTTTGTTCATTTTGTTCAACTTTTCTAACTGTTGGTTGTTTGACAAGAGTCTTGTTCACTTTATCCTCTAGCTGAAAATCCTGAGATTTCTTTTTTCTGCTTTCATTACTCTGTCCAGGTTGTTGTCTTGCTGTTGGTTGTACAACAAGTTTAGTTTTTCGTTTTGCTGTTGGTTGTACAACAAGTTTAGTTTTTCGTCTTGCTGTTGGTTGTACAACAAGTTTAGTTTTTCGTCTTGCTGTTGGTTGTACAACAAGAGGCTTGTCCACTTTATCCTCATGTAGAGAATCCTGAGATTTCTTCTTTCTGCTTTCATTACTCTGTTCAGTTTCTTGTCTAACTGTAGGTTGTATGGTTGCTCCCATACTTGTTACAGTTTTAATTTAATAACTAATCTTAGTTAATGTATCTGAAATTAAAAATAAAAACATTTTTTTTTATCCACATAATTATATTGTACTGCTGCTGTTATTGATATCGTTTATATACAAATAGAAAATAGAATTTGACTAAGTTTTCTACGTACCTTCATTTCTATTTAAATATTTCCAAGTGATCAGAACATTAAAGTTTCTAACCGAAATCAGTTTTGTTTTTGCATTTTTTTCTTCTATTCTGTTTCTTATAAGATACACCTATATGGCGCCCTTGGAGATTTTTGTTATTGAGAAGTTGAAATATGATCATTCAATATATTCTTTATTGTATTGGCCTTGTATACCTATACCTTTATCAAAAAAGGAAAAGATGTATTGATAATTGTGAAAATCATTGCCCTAATTTAAATTTGATCGATATATAGACAAATAAAAGGTTTTATATGAAAATAATTATACTGTACATATTTAATCTTATAATTTTGCCAGTTACATTCCCTCATTTTGAACAACTAATTAAATGTGCCAAAATATTTGTGAAAGATTGATTTAGATTTGTCAGCTTAAAGTAATTATTACAATCTTCAAAAATGTATTCATGAGGTGGGGATGGGGCATATATATAGAAAAAGCACATGCCAATTTTTTGTGTGATATTTATATAATTATTTGCTAATTTTTATCATCCTCATGATATCAATACTGTCATATCAACTTTATGCTGATTGCAAATACAAAAAAAAAATTATGCAATTCATATACATGAAGCAGGGAAAGGGACTCGAATGAGGTTTTTTTTGACAAGACTGGGCTAGAAATATTGTTTCTGAAATTTGTGTATCATTTTATGTAGGTCTGGACCAATAACTTTTGTTCATATTTTCAGATCATTATCTCTTTTCTCAAAATTATTATCAATTTTGTATTTTAAATGTTACGGTCGTGCTAATAATCGCACACACACAAAATCTAATTCTCAACACATTCTTTATTATCCTTTGATGATGTTTCAATTTTAAAGTGCTTCACTTGATGTATGTAAGAATTCTAAATTTTATATTTTAGTCTTTAGACCTCATTGGAGCTCCTTTAAAGATAGGTCAAGAGTGAAAAATAATTGATTAGAAAAATACTGATTTACTATTACTATTTTTAACATTTCATAAATAGTTTAATTAATATTCACTTACCATTATTTCCTGCTATCCTATTTCACAAAAATGTTACAACTTTAATTTAGACTTGTGCCATGTTTTTACATGTTGATTTTCTTTCATCCAATGTTTCAGATTAAGGATAAATTTAAAAATTAGTAGTATATAGATATGAATTCTATAGCTCTAATCTCATTTAAACATTATATCTTTTTTCTCAAGAGTATACTGTACGCATAAAATGAATAAGTTGTATCATGTATCAGAAGTGATTTTAGCAAACAAAATCATTGATATAATTCACGAATTTGATAACCTAGCTAAACATTGACTTCCATTACTTTCTGTACATAGCTCTGGGAAATTCACCTAAATGGCTTGTAATAGTGACAAGTATGTTTTTGGCCTTTTTTGGATTAAAATGAAATAAAACATTTTTTTTTGGGGGGGGGGGGTAAAAATGTTTAAATGTCATTGTTAAAATAATTCCATGTAAAAATATATATGTTAATACATAAGTTTGCATGGAAAATACCTCTTTGCACTATGGCAGGTGTCACTATGACTTTTTTAAAATTTATGTATTATTTTCATTGTAAACAGTCTAATTTTTGTAAAATTTGAGATACATAGCAAAAGGAACATTGTTTTGTTATTTCATAGTAAACTCAGTCACACCAACAGTATGGTGTAGATCAGAATCCCACATATCTTGCCATCCATCTGATGGTAGTATAATTGTTCTCCTTCCTAACAAGGAGTCAATCCTCCTCCTCTATACGGCAATGAGAATCCACTAGGGTAGATCTATATATGGGGGATGATCCAAAATACTGGGGGTAAGATAGGCTTACTTTGCTGTTGCTTAAGCAAAGTTAAATCATATACAACACACTGTTAATAAGTAAGAACAATAGAAAGGTATCATTTGGATATCAGGATATTCTAATATGAACATTTATATGATGAAAAGTATTTTGTTCTAGAACACTTTTATTATCTTCTATATAAATTTATGTTAGGAAACATTTTTTTTTTGGCCATTGCCGTCTGTCCGTCAGCCTGTCCATCCCTCTATCTGCATTAAGCTTGTCCGCCTTTCACAGGTCAAACTACTGATAGGATTTCAACGACGAATTGATCAGTACCATTCCTAGTTGTGCACTTTGCCAGCACATTCTACTTTGCTGTGTAAAATGGCCCCAGAGCAAAAAAATAGAAAAATCTTGTCTGGCTTTCAAAGGTAAAACTGCTGGTTGAATTTCAATGGAACTTCACAGTAGAGATCAGAACCATCCCCAGTTGTGCACATCGCCTGCATGTTCCGCTTCCTGCCAAAAAAAAAGAAAAATCTTGTCTGGCTTTCATAGGTCAAACTGCTGGTGAGATTACAACCAAACTTCACAGGAGTGATCAGATAATGACATCTAGGGAAAGACAGGGATTATGAGTTCAGTCCCAAATTCCTTTTCCTTTACCTATTAAGTGCAATCCCATTTTCTAGGGAGGAAAATTTGCGAAAGAAAAAAATCATTATCCTCTTCTTTTCATTAACCAGATTTATATGCCTTGTTTCTTGGTTTATAACTGATATATATCACAATGAAGATTTAAGAAAACAATAACTCTGTCTGGGGTATATCTACTCTACTGTTATTCCTTTATTGTATTGTTCTTAACTTCCATTAACACATTACAAAGAATAAATATAACACTGTACTTGTGAGAATGAAATAAATATATTTTACAGTATCCATTTAACCTTTTACCCCTTGAGCATATTGCTAAAATGGCCGTTTTCATTGAAAAGCCTCCTGTAACAAGTTCAGACTGCTATGAAACTATGAAAAATACTTCAATACTGATGACACTTGGCACAAATGTTCACTAGACCATAACCTCTGTAACAGCATGCTCAATCGTAAATTTCCTGTTACCATGGCAATGGGGGGACGTCTCAAAATTGCCAAAAATCACTATTTTGCATAGTTTTTTTCCATCAAAACTGATTTCAAAGTGCTGCAACTTTTCAATGAATTGAGATAGAGTAAAATGCTTTTCAGCATCGGTTACTAGTTACTCTAAGATCGACCTGAGTCCATTTTTAGCCTGTCACATGTCCAAAATTTTATTGGCGATGAGGGGGACTGCTGCCCCCCTTCAAACCCCCAAGCAGAAGAGGACAACCCCCTGATGTAACATTTGGATGGGGGACAGTGCCGAAAAAGTGGTCACTTTTTAGCTCACCTGTCACAAAGTGACAGGGTGAGCTTTTGTGATCGCTTTTCGTCTGGCGTCCGTCCGTCCGTCCGTCGTCCGTCCGTAAACTTTTACTTTAAATGACATCTCCTCATAAACCACTAAGCCAATTTCATCCAAACACAGGAATGTTCCTTTGGTGGTCACCTTTAAAAATTGTTCAAAGAATTTAATTCCATGCAGAACTCTGGTTGCCATGGCAACCGAAAGAAAAAACTTTAAATATCTTCTTTTAAAAAACCATAAGAGCTAGAGCTTAGATATTTGGCATGAAACATCTTCTAGTGAGTGTCTACCAAGTTTGTTCAAATAAAAGCCCTGGGGTCAAAATTGGCCCCGCCCCAGGGGGTCATTGATTTTCCCTATATGCATATTGTAAAAACTTAAAAAATCTTCTTTTAAAGAACCCAAAGAGCTAGAGCTAAGATATTTAGCATGAAACATGTTCTAATGGGTGTCTACCAAGTTTGTTCAAATAAAAGCCCTGGGGTCAAAATTTGCCCCGCCCCGGGGGTCATTGATTTTCCCTATATGCATATAGTAAAAACTTAAAAAATCTTCTTTTAAAGAACTCAAAGAGCTATGGCTAAGATATTGAGCATCAAACATGTTCTAATGGGTGTCTACCAAGTTTGTTCAAATAAAAGCCCTGGGGTCAAAATTGGCCCAGCCCCGGGGGGTCATTGATTTTTCCCTATATGCATATAGTAAAAACCTTAAAAAATCTTCTTTTAAAGAACCAAAAGAGTTAGAGCTAAGATATTTAGCATGAAACATGTTCTAATAAGTGTCTACCAAGTTTGTTCAAATAAAAGCCCTGGGGTCAAAATTGGCCCCGCCCCGGGGGGTCATTGATTTTCCCTATATGCATATAGTAAAAACTTAAAAAAATCTTCTTTTAAAGAACTCAAAGAGCTATGGCTAAGATATTTAGCATCAAACATGTTCTAATAGGTGTCTACCAAGTTTGTTCAAATAAAAGCCCTGGGGTCAAAATTAGCACCGCCCCGGGGGTCATTGATTTTCCTTATATGTGTATAGCAAAAACTTAAAAAATCTTCTTTGAAAAAACCCAAATAGCTAGAGTTAAGATATTAAGCATGAAACATCTTTTAGTGAGTGTCTACAAAGTTTGTTCAAATAAAAGACCTGGGGTCAAAATTGGCCCCGCCCTGGGGGTCATTGATTTTCTTTATATGTGTATAGCAAAAACATAAAATCTTCTTTGAAAAAACCCAAATAGCTAGAGTTTAGATATTAAGCATGAAACATCTTCTAGTAAGTGTCTACAAAGTTTGTTCAAATAAAAGCCTTGGGGTCAAAACTGGCCCGGCCCCAGGGGTGTCATTGTTTTAAACTATATGTTTATAGTAAAAACTTTAAAAAAAATCTTCTTTTAAAAAGCCCAATGAGCTCAAGCTGAGATGTTTAGCATGAAACATCTTCTTATGGGTGTCTACCAAGTTTGTGCAAATAAAAGCCCTTGGGTTAAATTGGCCCTGCAAGGTGGGGGGGGGGGGGGGGGGTTGGGGGGCCTATATACAGGTGAGCGACCTCAGGGCCATCATGGCCCTCTTGTTTTAACAACATTTCTCAAACGAAAAACAGTGTTTGGGGCCTAAATAGGGCATGTTTTCATTGTTTGAAGCCTTAGAAAAGGGTTGGGGGCAGAAAGCCATCGAAACACGCGTATACGAGGGGTGTCCCAGAATTACGTGGACTTTTGCTGTAACTCAAAAACAACTGAAAATAAAAACAAACAAAATTAACATGAACAAAATGCAACTTTATTGCATTAGTACAAAAAATTTCAAAGTTGTCCGGCAACTGGATCAGTGTCTGTGGGCAGGGTTATGAGACAAGGGGTAGCAGGTGCGGGGCAGTCCATTCCGACGTTACGACGTCATTCCGGTTGCGTCGCTAGTTGTTTATAAACATGGCGTCGAATGTCAGTTTTTCTCAACATACTCGGCGCCTCAATACACCTATGGTGTTGATATATCCACTGGTCGTACACTGTGATAATAATAATGATAATAATAATAATAATAATAAAGCATACTATTAACTTTTGTTACGATAATAGTGTTAAAAACGACGGTGATAATGCTGGCGCCGTATTATTATTATTATTTATCATTATTATTTTTATGCCCCCGCCATGTAATGGCCAGGGCATATAGTGTTACCCTGTTACGTCATTCCGTCCTTCCGTCCTTACGCCCTTCCGTCATTCTGTCATTCCGTCATCATCAGTTTCCGTTCATTATCTTAAGAACGGTTGCACACATTCAACTCAAATTTGACATATGGATATGTCATGAGAAAATACAGGTCAAATTCGAATTTGGTCATGGTTCGATGAATTTTGGCAGAGTTATGCCCCTTTTACTTTGAAAATAATATGAAATTTCAGTTTCCGTTCATTATCTCCCCAACGGTACAACACATTCAACTCAAACTTGACATATGGATATGTCATGAGAAAATACAGGTCAAGTTCGAATTTGGTCATGGTTGGATGATTTTTGGCAGAGTTATGCCCCTTTTACTTTGAAAATAATATGAAATTTTCAGTTTCCGTTCATTATCTCCCCAAAGGTACAACACATTCAACTCAAACTTGACATATGGATGCGTCAAAGGAATGCGCAGGTCAAGTTCAAATTTGGTCATGGTTCAATGATTTTTGGCAGAGTTATGCCCCTTTCACTTTGAAAATAATATGAAATTTACAGTTTCTGTTCATTATCTACCCAACAGTGTTACATATTCAACTTAAATTTGACATATGGATATGTCAAAGGAATGGGCAGGTCAAGTTGGAATTTGGTCATGGTTTGATGATTTTTTGGCAGAGTTATGTCCCTTTCACTTTGAAAATAATATAGATACATCTTAGGAATAAGCAGTTTAAGTTTGAATTTGGTCGTGGTTCAATGATTTTAGACAAACTTATCTTTCCTGAATGTTGGAAAAATTTTGAACTTTCAGTTTCAGCACTTATGCTTTTAGCCATTATTTTGGCTACAAATATGCAATATGCTATTTTTAAAAGGTTAAGACTGAATAATTTCAGTGCCTTGAACATTGTATGAAAATGGTTTGTGTTAACATTGAAAAGTTTTAAGGGCTTTTGAACTTAAAATGAAAAAAATAATTATTGTACCATCTGAAATTTTGGCTGCATGCGGGGGCATCCATGGCATGATGACACATTTCTAGTTATTATTATTATTTTTATTATTATTATTATTCTTTTTATTATTATTATTATTATTCTTATTATTGTGGAGTTTATTTTGTACGCAAAGACAATGTGCGTTAACAAGGGAAATAACCTATCATGCGCACTGCTTACTATAGCAGTTTGAGTTCACTTTCTTAAAAGCTGAAGCGGATAAATTGCGTTTAAAATAATAAATTGTGATTAGCTTAATTTTTAAAAATCATTTTTTTTAAACACAAAATTATTGCTTATCCTTGAATAGTACTCAGCATTGTAACGCCTGTCCCGATCTATGACGTCCTTGACTTCCTTAATTGACGCCGCAGTCAACGTTGACTTTCTCCCACGACCCTTGTCGTCTTCAATGTCCTCCCGGCCGTCTCGAAAATGCTTGTGCCACTTGAAAACGAGTGATCGACAAACAGGAGGTCTCACTTTTGCAGTCTCCAACATTTCCTGCGTCTGTGTTGGCGTCTTCCCAAGATTAACACAAAACTTGATGATAGTCGGATGTTCCGCGTAATCCGTGGACGTCATTTTTTGTTAAATATCCAAGAGCAACGGTTGTCAGTTGTCCGCTGGTAAACAATAACGGAAACAGCTATGACGTCAAAATTTCAAACGAACTTTCATATGAAGTCACTGCATATGCTTACGACGTCACGCCATTTTTTATTTGTTTGGGTCGTCAGACCAAACAAATAATGGTAGCGAAATTTCAGAGTCTAATGTTGTTAATTGCAAATGCCGAAAGTAGTCCACTTTTTTGAAGCGGTTACTTCCCTTTTGTATGTACACTAAAGCCGAAAAATTCAGGGGAGATCACTGCGTAAAGATGGTCAAAGACAGGCGCATCAATTTTCAAGCAAAGTAATTCCCGAATGGTTGAAGATTTCTAATATTGTTTTATTGTATTTTCTGATCGAAAATAACTAAATACAAAGCGGACATTCAATCTCTGACACAGAAGTTTACGACAAACCTAACAACAAGTAGTTCTCAAAAACAGCTTAAAACTAGCGATTTAAAAAAAAGAAATATTTTATTTTGTTACAAAGTATCAACAAATTACAACGCATTTAAAGTTAAACAATAGCGTTGGCTTATAGAATTGTCGTCAATAAATGCACAATCACAAATTACGCGGATGAATATGATTTTATCAATGAAAAATACTATTTATTACCGAATACTACACAAAACCGAGTAGTGGAATATATAGATTCTACATGTCGATGACTGTTTGGCGAGAGGATTTTCGCTAAAATATTTACTTCAAATTTTAAACAACAGGTTTACCCTGAACAAAATACCTCGAAATTAATAAGGATATTACAAACCCGAAATGCAATGGAAGTTCTAAATTTAGAATGACTTGATATTATTCCGACTATCTCTGTATAACTTCTCCGTGGTACAGTGGTAATGCGCTCGCGTAGTGAGTGAGAGGTCTCGAGTTCGAATCCCAGTCAAGGAAACTTTTTTTTTTGTAAAATTCTTTTTTAAGTGTTTTTGTTAAGGAAGTAGCCATGATATGCAAGGATAAAGTGTGACTGTCGTAAAAAATGAACATAAATGATTTTTTGATGCAACTCTAGTTATGCAGAATTCCGTATGTATCCAACTCTGGTGCCTTGCAAAATGAATTATAATACATAAAAATAAACATATACAGGAAAATGCATACAGATATACAGTACGATTTAGATTGCAAAGATCAGAAAATACCACAGAACTTGCAGCCCTTTGCTTCTTTATAAATATAAAAGCTTATAGTAAGCTCCAGGATTATTTACATCTGTGTTAAACAACAGTTAAAGTCGTTACAAGACCTAATTTAGAATAATATGGTTTTCTTCAGCCCGTTGGTGGCACTATACATATAATCTCACAACCTGCACCTTTCTTACATTCTGAGACCCAAACAAATTCAGCGCCTTCTGTGCTTTGATTACGTATAAGTAAAGACAACTTATTAATACAAAATATTGGACTGCCCAGCCCTGCGCATACTGTGTTACTATAGCGACGTAAAATATAGAGAAGCAATATTGGAAATTTAAAAATAATGGACATATTCATTAAGGATATGTTAAAGGTATTGTGTACAAATTTGCTAAAAAATGCATTAAAAAATAAAAAAGTTATAGCAAAAGTCCACGTAATTCTGGGACACCCCTTGTATAAGGGAAAAGGTTAAACATCACTATCTTTTCATGTTAAAATGGCCATTTGAAAGTTTTCTCAGTTACTTCATCACTTTTTTCCTGTGAAAGGAATGACCATTAGTAGAAAACAATAATTCTTTATCAATCTCTATTCTTAGGTCCCTACTGTTTGTTATTACAGAAAATCCATTTGTGCTTCATATTCTTGTCCTGTTTTAAGATTTAAACACTTCACAGTGAACTCAGTTTCACCAACAATAAGTTGTAGATCAAAGTCCCACATATCTGGCCATCCATCTGATGGTGGTTTAGTTTTTACTGTTCCTACTAAGCTACAGTCCTCCTCCTCTCTACAGTAATGAGGATCTTTTTGGGTAGATCTATATAGATGTACATTTTTCACTTTGCGTTTTTGTCCTGCTGAAGTGGCTGAATCATACCCTTGAAATATAAATGTCTGTCCATACTCCACTATCTGACCTTTTTCTATCATTTTCTTAAATATCATGTCACAATAAATGACCCCATCACAATTAACCCTAAGTTGTTTTGGATCTTCTCCGACTCTGAATGGTTGTCTAATCACAAATCCATAAGTGTACCTGGACCTACGTTGTATGATGTTTTTAGGTTTCCAGCCCATTATCACTGCCCCATTTAACACCGCCAGTCTAGCATCATCTACAAGGATAACTCTCATGTTACTGAATGTTGACTGAATTCTCTCCCTTACATAGGGAGATTCACTGTATCCTCCAACTAAAATGATTGTTTTCATTTCATTTTCATCACATTGGTCTAGTACTTCAACCAACTTGCTAATGATTTTATCAACTGATGGCTTGAATAATTCTTCCAGCATCTCTCTGTTGATTGTAAGTCTAGCCTCCATAGAATTATACTCAAGTTTTCTTACATGGTTTTGACTTTTTAACTATATCATTCAAGTTCTTTTTTTTCCCTCTTATGACATGCACCAGAGCATTTTCCATTTTCAATTGTATTTTATTTGTTTGTGATTTAAACTCTCTCTTCTTCAGTCTAAATTCATTAACAAGGCTTACACACGCTGATGGGTAGGTAGTTGAGAATTCACCCATACCTTTTTTCCTACTAAAGTTTTCCATCATGTTAATAAAAACAAATCATCAACATCACTGCCACCAGAGGCTTCTCTCCTGTTGTTCGGTATATTTTCTTGTATTTTGCCACCATCTATTATTTTATGAGCACATATGTCTGTTGTCCCTCCACCTAAATCAGCAAGACATGTACATAAACCCACAATGGTATTGCTTCTGTCATTATTCGTGGTGTACTGTATAAAGCTGCTGCCTCAGACTCAAGAACAAGTCGAAGAATGTGTTTCTGGAATTCCTGCTTTTGTCGAAGCTTCTCTCATGAAACTGACGTGCTGAGTCAGAATGAAATTGCTGGAATTGTGATCATCCATTGAATTTGTCAGTTTCTTTCAGACCAAGTATTGATACAAAAACTATCTTTGATGCTTCATCTTTTAGATGTTTTATTGCTATTGAAAAAATGTTCATAGCTTCAAGTGGTTTACCAGAAATATCTTTAACTACCATTTCTCTTACAATTTTACTTTCTTGATATATTTTCATTTTAAAGTTTTCAAAGTAGTAAAATTTGGATCTGTCACATTGAGAAAGGTCATGAAAATCAGTCTGTGCTTTGTATCCAAATGAATGGAATGTTTTGTCTGGATTTAATAACAATACTGTAGGTACTCTATCTTCCTTCAGCATTCCTCCATGATCTGCTGACTTTATGTTGTCTTCATTTCCCTTAAAGGAATATGCAAACCCTGAATGGACTGTTCCAAAATCTATGGCTACTACAACAAGAGGCTTGTCCACTTCATCCTCATGTAGAGAATCCTGAGATTCCTTTTGTCTGCTTTCAGTACTCTGTTCAGTTTCTTGTCTAACTGTTGGTTGTATGGTTGCTCCCATACTTGTTACAGTTTTTTACATTACCAGCTTATCTTAACTAATTTTCCAGTTGATTTTTGTATCTGGGTTTATTTTGAAACTCTGTCTTGATGTTTTTTCTCTTGCTTACAGTGTTTTGTTGAATTATTGTTAGTTGAAGGACTGTGCTCATGACTGTTGTAGCATTGATAAAGTGTTCAGTGGAGCTCTCAGTAGTGAATTTATCTAAATAGAAAGGAAAATATCTTTTGTCATCTTTTGTTATTGTATTATACTGTAATATTGACAGTTTTATTGCAAATATTTTAAGAGTGTTAATTTTGATAGATATAAAGGGAACTCCAGTGATGTTTTTTGACATAACTCGACAAAAATCTTGTGTGCATAGTTTCACATCATAATATTTGTATTTTATGCATAACAATCATGCTTATAATCAGACACAAAATTTTCATTAGTTTAATTCTCAACACAGTCTTTATTTTCCTACGCATATGTTTAAATTTTAAGTGCTTCACTTGATGTATGTTAAAATTCTAAATTTTATTTATTAGGCTTTAGACCACATTGGAGCTCCTTTAATGATAGGTCAAAAGTGAAGAATAATTGATTAGAAAAATGCTGATTTATTATTATAGATTTTAACATTTCAAAAAGATTTCTGTTAAAAAAGATTTTATTTAATATTCACTTACCATTACTCCTTGTAATTATCCTGTTTCACAAAAATGTTACAACTTTAATTTAGACTTGTGCCATGCATTTACATATTGATTTACCTTCATCCACTGTTTTAACTTAAAGATTTAGTTGAAAGGCTCTATAGATATGAATTCTATAGCTCTGTGTTATTGTTTCAGATTTAAAATAAGATGAATTTAATCTTGGCTTCAAAATGTAAAGGTGTTCATAATTTGTATAAAACCTTTGTCTTGATTGGCAAAAAATACTACCGTATAAATGGTTATTTCTGTGGGCTCCAAATTCTGCGTTTTTTCCCAATTTTGGTATGCTTTTATTTCTGCCAACTTTATTTATGTGGCACATTCTTTGGACAAAACATTATTAAAATTCTGCTGCTAATCTTATCATAACATGTCGCCATGGTCCTGGTGGACTATTTTGTTTTATGTATCACAGATATCACCATAGCAAAGATAAATTACAACTGCAAGGGAGCCGAGGTAAAAAGTTGGACAAAAAAAAGAAAGCAGTGGCAAGACTATTTGTATTTATTTCAAAACAAACATTTTAAATACATCAAGGTCTAAGTCATATAACTCTACCTATAACATTTGCATAAACACATTCTTATTTATTTATCGTTGTCACTGCAAAAAAAGTAATTGATACTCACTTGGTGATGTGCAAACAAATATAATGTGCAACAATAGTAAAGTATGCATCTTTTGATCAGCGTGAATAGAAGTGTGAAAAATATTACTATGGGTATTTATGATGTTTAGATATTTTTATTCATAAATTGACATAATTAACAGTTAGTACATTATTTCTTTCTTGAAGACATTATAAAATGGTAAAATCAATTATAATTCCTTTTCTTTACTTATTCAAGGCAATCCCATTCTGTAGAGAGGAAAGATTGTGAAGAAAAAAATCTGCTCATTTCCCTCTTCTTTTCATTAACCAGTCTTATACGCCTTGTTTCTTGGTATATAACTGAAAAGTATCACAATGAAGTTTTTAAGGAAACAATAACTCCGTATGATGTATGTCTACTCTACTGTAAATCCTTTATTGTATTGTTCTTTACCTCCATTAACACATTACAAAGAATAAATATAACACTGTACTTGTGAGAATAAAATAAATATGTTTTGCAGTATCCTTTTTGAACATCACTATCAAGTCATGTTAAAATGGCCATTTCAAAGTTTTCTCAGTTACTTCATCACTTCTACTTTTTTTCCTATGAAAAGAATGACCATTTTAGGAAATAAAAGTAGTAGACAACAATTGTTTATCAATCTTGATCTTTAGGTCCCTACTGTTTGTAATTACAGAAAATCCATTTGTGCTTCATATTCTTGTCCTGTTTTAAGATTAAAATACTTAACAGTGAACTCAGTTTCACCAACAATAAGGTGTACCTGGCTATACCAATCATCTGGCCATCCATCTGATGGTGGTAAAAGTTTTACTCTTCCTACTAAGCTACAGTCCTCCTCCTCTATACAGTATTGAGGATCTTCACGGGTAGATCTATATAGACGTACATGTCTCTCTTCACGTTTTCCTTCTACTGTAGTGGCATTATCATACCCTCCAGATATAAATGTCTGTCCATACTCCACTATCTGACCTTTTTCTATCATCTTCTCAAATATCATGCCACAATAAATGTAACTATCATGATTAACCCTAAGTTGTTCTGGATGTATTCCCTCTCTGAATGGTTCTGCAATATAAAATCCATAAGTGTACCTGGACCTACGTTGTATGATGTTTTTAGGTTTCCAGCCCATCATCACTGCCCCATTTAACACAGCAAGTCTAGCATCATCTACAAGGATAACTCTCATGTTACAGAATGATGACTGAATTCTCTCCCTTACATAGGGAGATTCACTGTATCCTTCTACTAAAATGATTGTTTTGATTTCATTTTCATCACATTGGTCTAGTATTTCAACCAATTTGCTAATGATTTTATCAACTGATGGCTTGAATAATTCTTCCAGCATCTCTCTGTTGATTGTAAGTCTAGCGTCCATAGAATTATACTCAAGTTTTCTGACATATTTTGACTTTTTAACTATATCATTCAAGTTCTTTTTTTCCCCTGTTAATACATGCACCAGAGCATTTTCCATTTTCAATTGTATATTATTTGTTTGTGATTTAAACTCTTTTTTCTTCAATCTAAACTCATTAACAAGGCTCACACAAGCTGATGGGTGAGTAGTTGAGAATTCATCCCAAACCTTTTTTCCTATTAAAGTTTCCATCATGTTAATAAAACATTCATCAACATCACTGCCACCAGAGGCTTCTCCTGTTGTTCGGTATATTTCTTGTATTTTGCCACCATCTATTATTTTATGAGCACATATGTCTGTTGTCCCTCCACCTAAATCAGCAAGTACATACATAAACCCACATGGTATTTCTTCTGTCATTATTCGTGGTGTACTGTAAAAAGCTGCTGCTTCAGACTCTAGAACAAGTCGAAGATGTGTCTCTGGAATTCCTGCTTTTGTTGAAGATTCTCTCATAAACTGACGTGCAGAGTCAGATGATATTGCTGGAATTGTTATCATCCAATGAATGTCAGTGTCCTTTAATTCAAGTTTTGAATCTAAAACTATCTTTGATGCTTCATCTTTTAGATGATTTATTGCTATTGAAAAAACTATCATAGCTTCAAGTGGTTTACCAGAAATATCTTTTACTCCCATTTCTCTTTCAATTTTACTTTCTTGATATATTTTCATTTTAAAGTTTTCAAAGAAGTAAAATTTGGATCTGTCACATGCAGAAAGCTCATGAAAATCAATCTGTGCTTTGTATCCAAATGAATGAAATGTTTTATCTGGATTTAATAACAGTATTGTAGGTACTCTATCTTCCTGCAGTATTCCTCCATGTTCTGCTGACTTAATGTTGTTTTCATTTCCCTTAAAGGAATATGCAAACCCAGAATGGACTGTTCCAAAATCTATGGCTACAACAACAAGAAGCTTCTGTCTGCTTTCATTGCTATCTTCAGTTTTTCGTCTTGCTGTTGGTTTTACAACAAGTGGCTTGTCCACTTCATCCTCATGTAGAGAATCCTGAGATTCTGTTTGTCTGCTTTCATTACTCTGTTCAGTTTTTCGTCTAGCTGTTGGTTGTACAAGTGGCTTGTCCACATTATCCTGATGTAGAGAATCCTGAGATTCTGTTTGTCTGCTTTCATTACTTTGTTTAGTTTGTTGTCTTGCTGTTGGTTGTATGGCTGCTCCCATACTTGTTACAGTTTTACATTACCAGCTTATCTTAACTAATTTTCCAGTTGATTTTTGTATCTGGGTTTATTTTGAAACTCTGTCTTGTGTCTTACAGTGTTTTGTTGATTCATTTGTTAGTTGTAGGACTGTGCTCATGACTGTTGTAGCATTGTTAAAGTGTTCATCGGAGATCTCAGTAGTGAATTAATCTTAAAAAGAAAAGGAAAAAATCTTTTTGTCATCTTTTGTTATTGTAATATACTGTAATAATGAAAATCTATTGCAAATATTTCAACAGTATTAATTTTGATAGATTTTAAAGGGACTTGATTGAGGTTTTTTGACAAGACTGGACTAGAAATATTGTTTCTGAAATTTGTGTATCATTTAAAGTTTATGTAGGTCTGGAACAATAACTTTTGTTCATATTTTCAGATCATTCCCTCTCTTTTCAAAATTGATATTAATTTTGTCTATTGTTGGAGGGGCGATGGGGGTATTCACCCATATTTTTGAGAATTCCCCCACTAATTTTTCAGAGGCAGAGGGAAATTTTTACATAGAGAAAGAAGGCAAAAGATTAACAAATGTAATGAATTCTTACTTTTCGACAACCCCCCCCCCCCCCTGTTTTTTTTAAATCCTAGAATAAACACTGACAGTCGTACTAATAATCACACAAACACACAAAAAATTTAATTCTCAACACATTCTCTATTATCCTTTGAAAATACTTCAATTCTAAGTGCTTCACTTGATGTATGTTAAAATTTCAAATTTTAGGCTTTAGACCACATTGGAGCTTCTTCAAAGATAGGTTAAGAGTGAAGAATAATTGATTAGAAAAATGCTGATTTATTATTATTATTTGTAACATTTCATAAAGATTTTAATTAATATTCACTTACCATTATCCTATTTCTCAAAAATGTTACCACTTCAATTTAGACTTGTGCCTTGCATGTACATATTGATTTTCATTCACCCACTGTGTCAGCTTAAAGATTAATTTGGAAAGAAGATATGAAGTATATAGCTGTTATCTCACTGGGACACTCAAAATCTTTTTCTCCAAGAGCAAATTGATCAGTTTAACCGAAGTGATTTTAACAAACAATTTCATTGATTTAAATCAAATCACCAACTTGAAAACCTAGCTAAACATCGATTTTCATTTCTTTCTGTACATAGCTTTGGGGAATTCACCTGAATGGCTTGTAATAGCGATAAGGATATTTTTGGCCTATTTTGGGTTAAAATGCAATAAAACAATTTTTTTATGAAAAAAAAATGTTTAAATATCATTGAAAAAATAATACCATGCAAAAAAATATGTGTTAATATATGTTTACATAGAACATAGCTCTTTTCATTATGGCAGGTGTCACTATGACTTTTTCAAATTTATGTTTTATTTTCATTGTAAACAGTCTAATTATTGTAAAATTTGAGATACAAAGCAAAAGAACATTGTTCTGTTATTATCCCCCGCCGATAATTTTCGGCGGAGGATATAGTAATAGTCTCCGTCCGACCGTCCGTCCGTCCTTCCGTCCGTCCGTCCTTCCGTCCGAAATTTTTGTCCGGAGCATATCTCTAAAAGTATTTGAGTTATCAACTTGAAACTTCATAGGTGGATAGACCTCATTGAGGAGGAGTGCAGTGCACAAGAATGATAACTCCACCTTGCATGATTTTTGAGTTATTGCCCTTTGTTATTTTTCAAAATTGATTTTTGTCCAGAGCATAACTCCAAAAGCCTATGAGATATTAACATGAAACTTCATAGGTGCATAGATCTCACTCAGGAGGTGTGCAGTGCACAAGAATGATAACTCTTCCTTTCATAATTTTTGAGTTATTGCCCTTTGTTATTTTTCATACCTAATTTTTCACCTGAGTGGAGCATAACTCAAAAAGTGTTTGAGATATCAACATGAAATGTCATAGAAGGATAGATCTTATTGAGGAGAAATGTTGTGCGCAAGAATGATAAACTCTTCCCTATACAATTTTTTGAGTTATTGCCCTTTGTTTTTTTTTTCATGCTATTTTTGTCCAGAGCTTATCTGAAAAAGTATTTGAGGTATCATCTTGAAACTTCATAGGTGGATGGATCTCATTGAGGAGGAGTGCAGTGCTAAAGAATGATAACTCTGCCCTGCATTATTTTTGAGTTATTGCCCTTTGTTATTTTTCAAAATTAATTTTTGTCCAGAGCATAAAACTCAAAAAAGCCTTTGAGATATCAAAAATGAAACTTCACAGGTGCATAGATCTCACTCAGGAGGTGTGCACTGCACAAGAATGATAACTGTACCTTTTATAATTTTTGAGTTATTGCCCTTTGTTATTTTTCAAACTTAATTTTTCAATTCAATTTTTTTCTCAAAAGTATTTGAGGTATCAACTTGAAACTTCAATAGGTGGATAGATTTTACTGAGGAGGGATGCAGCACACAAGGATGATAACCTACCCTGCATTATTTTTCAGTTATTGCCCTTTGTTATTTTCAGCCATCAGTATTCACATAGGTTTAAAATCTGTAATCACTATAGCCATCAGTTTTCATTACCAAAAGACCTCTTAAAATGGAATTATTCTGCTCTACTACATATACATTCTTCAAATGAGCAAACACATTCGGCGGGGGATGGCCATTTTGACATGGCTCTTGTTTCATAGTGAACTCAGTCACACCAACAGTATTGTTTAGATCAGAACCCCACATATCTTGTCATCCATCTGATAGTGGTATAATTGTTCTCCTTTCTAACAAGGAGTCAATCCTCCTCTATACAGCAATGAGAATACGAAGGAAGATCCAAAATAAAATGAACTTACTTTTGCTGTTGCTTAAACAAAGGTGGTTAGAATTTAGTAAATCATATACACATGTACAATGTATTATCAATAAGTCAGAACAATAGAAATGTATCATTTGGATATCAGGATTTTCTTATATAATATTTCTTTGCAAAAAAAATGCTATTCAAGGTCTAAGTGATTTAATATGAACATTTATGTGGTGAAAAGTATTTTGTTCTAGAACACTTTTATTATTTGCTATATAAGTCTGTGCTAAATTCGACCATGTATCTCAGACGCCCCGTCCATGGCCGAGTGGTTACGGTCATTGACTTTAAACCACTTGCCCCTCACCTCTGTGGGTTTGAATCCCGACAGGGACTTTGGATTCTTTCATGTGAGGAAGCTATCCAGCTAGCTTACGGAACGTCGGTGGTTCTACTCAGGTACCCATTCGTGCCTGAAATAATGCACGGAAGGGCACCTGAGGTCTTCCTCCACCAGTAAAGCTGGAACGTCGCGATATGACCTATACTGTGTCGATGTGACGTAAAACCCAAAACAAACAAACAAAATCTCAGACTTGCCAATAACGTCTGTCCCAAAATTTTTGGTTGACATATTGTTTTTGCCTTTGCCATCTGTCCATACAAACTCAAGTGACATTATGGTGTGGGTTCATATTTGCAAGGTCAAGGTCACTAGAGATGATAAAATATCCAGATATTGAGAGCATATCTCCTATATTCATATCTTTAATGCCCACATCTCTGACAAAAGCTTTTGTGACGGGCATATTTTGCGACACTGTTGCCCTTGTTTGGTATATAATATCATCTAAAGGTCCTCTACCATAGTTGTTCAAACTTTGCCCCTATTGTTAAAATTGGCCCTTACATAAATAACTGTTTGTCTTTAAGTGTGCACTTTGGGTTCTAATTTTACTAATCAAATTTTTCCTCATCGGCCAGAAACTTGCAGGGACAGTGACTTTTTGGGTATATTTTTTCTTTCTTGAAGATTTGATAAAAAGGTAAAATCCATCTACTTATTCAGGGCAATCTCATTCTATAGGGAGGAAAGTTTGGGAAGAAAAAAAATCTGCTCATTTCCCTCTTCTTTTCATTAATCAGTCTTATACGTCTTGTTTCTTGGTAGATAACTGAAATATTACAATACAATACTTTAAAAAACAATAACCCTGTCTCACTGGTATGTTTACAGTAAATCCTTTATTGCATTGTTCTTTTCTTCAAAAACACTTTACAAGTAAAATATAACACTGTGAGAATAAAATAAATATATTTTGCAGTATCCATTTAAACATCACTATTAAGTCATGTTAAAATGGCCATTTGAAAGTTTTCTCAGTCATCACTTCTACTTTATCCTGTGAAAGGAATGACCATTTTAAGAAATACAAGTAGTAGACAATAATTGTTTATCAATCTCTATCTTTAGGTCCCTACTGTTTGTAATTACAGAAAATCCATTTGTGCTTCATATTCTTCTCCTGTATCAAGATTAAAGTACTTCACAGTGAACTCAGTCTCACCAACAATAAGTTGTAGATCACTATCCCACTCATCTGGCCATCCATCTGATGGTGGTATAATTTCTATTGTTCCTACTAAGCTACAGTCCTCTTCCTCTATACAGTATTGAGGATCTTCACGGGTAGATCTATATAGATGTACATATCTCACTATACATTTTCTTTGTGCTGTAGTGGCTGTACCATACCCTTTATATATAAATGTCTGGCCATACTCCACTATCTGACCTTTTTCTATCATCTTCCGAAATATCCTGGAACAATAAATGTCACCATCATAATTATACCTAAGTTTTTCTGGATCTATTCCCTCTCTGAATGGTTTACCAACTTCAAATCCATAAGTGTACCTGGACCTACGTTGTATGATGTTTTTAGGTTTCCAGCCCATCATCACTGCCCCATTTAACACAGCAAGTCTTGCATCATCTACAAGGATAACTCTCATGTTACTGAATGTTGACTGAATTTTCTCCCTTACATAGGGAGATTCACTGTACCCTCCAACTAAAATGATTGTTTTGATTTCATTTTCATCACATTGGTCTAGTATTTCAACCAATTTGCTAATGATTTTATCAACTGATGGCTTGAATAATTCTTCCAGCATCTCTCTGTTAAGTATTAGTCTAAAGTCAATAGAATTATACTCAAGTTTTTTGGCATATTTTGACTTTTTAACTATATCATTCAAGTTCTTTTTTTCCCCTCTTAAGACAAGCACCAGAGACATTTTCCATTTTCAATTGTATTTTATTTGTTTGTGATTTAAACTCTTTTTTCTTCAATCTAAACTCATTTACAAAGGCTTACACAGCTGATGGTGAAT